TAGACTCATATAGGCATGACAAACCACACAGGCTGCAAACTGTCATTTACGTTTACAATTTGAGTTTGGCAAATTAGAGCTAAGGTTCTCTTATTCTCTTATTTACTTTTTTTGTCGGCTTATAAGATTTTACTGAAAAAGTATAAATTTACGACTCTATAAACCTTAACCCAGTGAAATTCAAATTGAATAAACTGAACTCATCTCGCTTTATTAGTCCAGGGTACCATGTAGCAAAAACTGTGCAAACATGATATTCTGTAAACTTGCAGTATACGTTGTGCCTCATAAATGATTTAATGTTTTAAACTTAGACATAAGGAGATTATTCATTAAAACTGCGTTTAAATCTAATACTTAACATGATTAGCTCAAATCAAACGACATACTTAAATTATGCTATAAAATATGGGCAGAGATAGATTAGCTGCGTTATATCTATTCTTTTTAATTCTTTAAATACGTACCTTAAGCTTTAACTGCGCGATACATACATAATACGATGGTCTTAATCATGTGATATCAATAACACCGTAGGAATTGAAATATGCCAATTCCTGTTAATATTGAATAAAAGTTAGTTGAATTAGACTCTGCTTTGATTACGGTATTAGAAGTAGTCTGTGTTCTCGTTGAAAAATTACGAAAAATTGGCATTAAATAAAATATAGCTTGAAAGATAGCTTGGGATCTCGTTGAATTATACAAGTGGAGATTGTGCCTTGAGTATTGGCATTGAATCGAATATAGCTTGAAAGATATCGTGTGATCTCGTTGAATTATACAAGTGGAGACAGGGGCGGATACAGGGGGGGGCGGGGGGACATTCGCCCCCCCCTGACAGATTCAGGGAGGGGCGTAGCCCCCCCCCCCCCGAGATTTCGAGGCAAAAAATGTTCCCAATTTGATAAGTGTTATTGTTAACGATAAATTTAGAATTAGAAATTTGTAGGAAACTAGACTTAAGTTATAATATTGTTCATATCTAGTAATGTTCCTTAATCAATACTCATTTATCAAAATTGTAATATTGTTCCTAATTTTCATGCATTTAAGTATAACTAGTAATTTCCTTTTGTTCTTAAATTGCTAATGTTCCTATTATTGTTCCTGTTCCTAATACTGTGTCCGACCCACCTTAAATCCCTGTCCTAATCCTATATTTTTGTTCCTAATTCCTGAACAATCTTTTTATTGTTCCTAAATCCCTGTCCGAATCCTTTAATTTTGTTCCTAATTCCTGAACAATCTTTTTATTGTTCCTAAATTCCTGTCCTAATCCTTTATTTGTGTTCCTAATTCCTGAACAATCTTTTAATTGTTCCTAAATTCCTGTTCTAATCCTTTAATTTTGTTCCTAAAACTTAAAAATCTAGTTTTTTAGTCTTTTGTCATTAATTTTGACTCATTTTGAGTCTTTTAAGTCAAAAAAAAAGTCACTTAAATCCTGTATCCGCCCCTGAGTGGAGATCTTGCCTGGATGATTGGCAATCTGATCGAATATAGCTTGAAAGATAGCTTGGGTCTTCGTTGAATTATATGAGGTGAGATTTGGACTGTGTGTCCTTCAGAACCGGGGAGTTAAGCCTGGTTGAGAAATTGCCTGTGTAGCAAATTCAATAGCCTATGTGGCTTTTATAACTAGGGAGTTAAGACTGGTTGAGATTTGGGACTGTGTGTCCTTTGGAAGCGGAGAGTTAAGTATGGTTGAGATATTGCCTTTGAGGCATTCTGAAACGAGTAAACCTGGATAGATACGTCTCTAGTGAAACTGTTATGGAGTAGGTGTTTGATACAGAAACAAGCTAAAGACATGATAGGCACGGGTAACCACACAAACTGGCGATTTTTTCATAAACCTTCCCTTGGGGTCCCTAGATGTCCCACAAAAATTTGGGCCCGATCGGTTCAGCCGTTTTGACGTTTATTGGATACAAACAGACAGACACCCAAACAGACAAACAAACAAACAGACAAACAGACAAGCCAAATTTATATATAGATAGCCACTGAAGTTTCATGAGTTCTATTTCTAAAGATATTATTATTCATTTAGTAAATATATATACTATCTCCGAGCTTAGAATGAACAAGCAAATGTTTTATGGACCATTCCAACTCCCTTATGACAGTCGTAAGTTTTAGGAACTTTCATAAAATTTTCCGGAGTAATAAGTAGATTTGAGAGAGTGTTAAACAAACTGTTATTGGACCATTCTTGTATTACACTTCAGGGTTATATATATATATATTTATTTATGCGGGAGGAGGATGGAAGGTGAGTCTTTTTTTAACTGTAAAAGGGTAGGGAGGAGGAGGGGGAGGGTACAGTCCCCCCAGTTTTGATTCAACTTGTCACTAAATCTTATTTTATAATCCAAATATCTTTGCAATCTGATTTTATTTTATATATCAAACTGTAAATTCATTTAGAGCACATATATTTTAAGTTTTAAATATGAACGGTTTAAACCATCAGGTTACGAAAATATAGGTAATAGACAATTTTAGGTTGTGGCAAATACTCAATTCCTTTGAAGGATTATTAAGCAAATTGTTTTTAATGCATAAGGCATGGTGCAGAACCGTCTAGCGGCCGGTTGGCTTAGAAAATCTAAAATAGCCTAAAGCTTTTTTGTTATATAACCTTTACATTTATTAAAAACCCCTGAACAATGAATTTAAAAACATCGTCATATCAAACTATTTGCCAAAAACTAAATTTTATTAATATTTTTTTTAATCCTCCCAAACACCTAATTCATTAAAGATCGCGATCTATTTTTAAAATAATCTGGGCCGGAAAAAATGGCTTCATGAACTAAGTGAATTTACATAGCCTCCACACTCTTAGGCATCAAGCTGTCAATGATTTTATGTATATAAAAGCAACAAATAAGTAAAATTAATAGCAATCAGGCGAGCAACTAGAGGGGGGGGGGTAATGCCCCCACCTAGCCTGATTAAGGGGGCTAGCCCAACACCATAAGAAAGCTTCCAACCCCCCCTCCAAGAAGAAGTTTTTAACGTTGGGTGGATGTAATACAATACAATCAACAAAAGTAACAATTTTGCAATAGCCTCCGATTTTCTAATCCCGGATTTTTGTAACCTGATGTCGCAGACATTTCAAACATTTCTATGAATCAAATAATCCAAGTTGGAAATATCAAAGTATTGTAAGGTTGAGGGGATCTACGGATTTGAAAATTCGAGTTTGTGGCATAGACCAGGGAGTAAGGAATAGAAGGGAGATACAACTGACGCGGTTCGCCCTACCATATGATTATACATGCTTTGCAGACGGTACTCCATTTTATATCGAGCTGTTTGGTTTCTTTAGTAGGGCCCCACAGGAAAAATATGTATTGGCGAAACTGGTCAAAGAAAATGGTAGGGCGAACCGCGTTATATCTTCCTTCTATTCCTTACTCCCTAGCATAGACTTATACCTAGACCTCATTTAGAGTTGTTAAGGGACTGTAAGCGTAACTCCATTATACCCTCCAGGCAATAATTGCAATGCCTTATTTACAGTACCCTTGAAACCTTTCAGATCAATATTTTTAAGTTTCAATCTGATAAATCTGATAAAGGATCCCAGCCCATATCGAAAGTAAAAGTCGATAATTAAAACTAAAATCAACATTCTTTTTGAACATGACAACAATTTCCATTTTAAAACTATTTTCTAGAATCAAAAAGGGAGTTTTTTATATTAAAACCCTTGACCGTTTAAGACAATGTCAGGTCTTCAATTTTCGGACATATACTGAATTTGAAACATCTTGTCCCGTTAAACACACTTTCCCGTTTTTGAATAAAATCTTCAATTCAGAACAACACTAAAATATAATTCACTGAAAGGAAAAATTCTCTTATCAAGACTAAAATACTGCCGATTATTTCTAAAATCTTAATTTCCCTTTTTTATTTGTGAAATAGAGAATAAGGTTGATTTAATTTCCCGCATGCTAAATAAACGATTTTCCGGGGAAGCCTATATATTGTAAGAACAGAATAAAATTTGTTTTCTCGATGAAATCATTGATATGAATTAGAGTATTTGTCTCTAACTCCTCAAACCAGGATATTTTCCGAAAACTAGACAAAATCTGTAATTGTTTTTAAACAGAAATATATTTGAAAATGAAAACCAATAACAAAAACTAATGCGCACACCTTTTTTTAGTATGTTTTAGCCATTTAATAAATGCATGGTGTAATTTTTTTTAAATCTGTATGGATTTAGAGATAAACGCTTCATTTAGCAGATTTGGCTCATTTCTAACAGTACTGTTAGTTTCAAGGCGCAATACAAAATTTTCCTACAGAATTTCCCAGATTTCCACTAAACAGGCATTTAATAATACGTTGACAGTTGCTTAAAACTTTCATTTCGAATATTTTTGAAGTAAAATATACATAGACAAAAAAAAGTTTCAAAGAGACTATCAGTGATTTCTCGCGACCCTGAATGCAAAGAGAGCTATGTAGCCTGTCAACGTTCGATTTTTGTCAAGTGCAGAAGTCAAGGACAGTTAGTTAAAACTTGCATTTCGCATTTCGGTTTCAGTTCGATTATTTTCGAAGTAAAATATACACAGACAAAAAAAATTGTTTCAAAGAGACTATATCAGTGATTTCTCGCGACCCTGAATGCAAAGAGATCTATGTAGCCTTTCAACCTTAGATTGTTCGTGCACAAGTGCAAAAGTCTTCGTATAGTTATAGTTACACACTATATGCTGCCCATGTACAGCAATTCAGTTACTTAAATAAGTCTCTCAAAATAAACTTTAATAAATCGACTCAAATAACCAAATATTTCTCAGTCATTTAAAACAAAGAACTAATCTCTCGAATGCAAATAACCTGGTGAAATTTAATACTGAATAGTTTGTTGATAATTAACACAGTACAAAGTACTATTGTAAATCTGTCAATAAAAAGAGACATTGAAATTATCTTTCTAAAGTAATCCTAGTAAAAGAACTATAGTAATAATAAAGTCGTTTATTCATAGAATATTAATACATAATTATCTAAAAATTAAATTAAGATCCGTAGATAAAATCAGTGGCAGACTCGTCTCGCAACCTGTAACAAACAATGTAAGCAATAGGATACTTCTCAGACTCTTTAAATGTCGATTCGAATTCAATTCTACGTAAAAATACTTAAGATAATGAAACACACAGAACGCCAAATATCTTCATGGCTAAATTTGAGGACAAAGTGAGCTTACGCAACAAACTCAAATTTCCTAATCCCTAGATCTTTACAACCTAATGGTGCAAACCTCGATATCTAATTTTGAAATTAAGGGTTCGAAAATTTCTAGTTAAGAAGTCCAAAATCCTAGATCACACAAAATTGTTTGTTTAAGATTACCTTAACGTTAACATATCCGCAGTTTTGTTTTGGCTCATTCCAACACTTCTGGTGGGATTCAGTCCAACACTTCTGATGGGGCTCATCCCAACATTTCTCATGGGGCACCTAAAATGCCATTTCAGTTGAAAACCCATAAAAAAATTCAGTTACTGACAAATACTTGGAACGAATACCTTTTAATTGAGAGAATTGCCCCTAGTAATTGTTTAATAATTTTAATAGTAAGATTTAAGGAACAATATGAACATATATTTAGATAAAAATAATTTCACCTGTGTGCACACTTCATTAGGAACCTGAGTACATTTCTGGTGTGGAATCTGAGTACACTCCTGCCTAGGAACCTTTCTACAAGTTTGCCTTGGTTCATCCCAGCAGGATTCCTGAGGAACCTGGCGACATGTCTCACGGGGCTCATCCCAGCATTTCTCCTGAGGAACCTAAAACAAAAAATACATGCATTGTCCAATAAAAAATGATACTTTGATGAATCACGAGATCTGTTGAATAAATACGACTCTAAAGATTGAAATAATAATTTTACCTGTTTGCATTGTTCTCTAGGCACATCCTTGCACTCTTGTCTTGGCACATTCTTACATTGCTGTTTGTTAACAGTCCAGCATTCTTGCCTTGGAACATTCTTACACTGCTTAGACGGAACAGTCCAGCACTTTTGCACATCATGGCACTTCTCAATGGGAACCTTGGCACAGTGGCTTTCTGGTACCTGCCAGCACTCTTGTTCATTGCCACCCTTGTGCTTCTTCAGACCAATAAGACCAAGAAGACCTAAGAGACCAAGTTTCTTCTTCTTAATAAGAGCCAGTTTACCAAGAGCTAGGGGAGCTAAAAGTGGGGGAGCTAGTAGAGGAAGACCAAAAGGAGCAAGACCAGCCAGACCTGCAAGTCCACTACCGATGCTACGCTTGTATTTCTTGGATCCTGATGCGGAGGTGAAGCTACTGGGACAAACTGTTTTGTATTTAGTGATACAATTCTGACTTCCATATCCAGAAGTATCTCTCTTATACCTAGCTGACGAGCTGGAGTAGGAAGAAGTGTGTTGGGAATAGCTGGAGGTGTGGGGGATAGAGGTGCAGTGAGTTTCAGGAACCTGATAGCATTCCTCTTCTTGACCACCTCCCTTATGCTTCTTCAGACCAAGGAGACCAAGAAGACCAAGCAGACCCAATTTCTTCTTCTTCACAATGAGCAGAGGAGCAGCCAAGGCAGGGAGCAGTAAGGGAGCAGCTAAAGGTAATCCAAGGGGAAGGCCAAGGGGAGCTAAACCAGCAAGAGCAGCCAAACCAGAAGATCTCTTTCCTCGCTTTCCTTTCTTTCCACCTTCTTGTTCATCCTCGCAAACAGTTCTGTATGCTGTACTGCACTTCTGTTCCCAGATCTGTGCACACTGTGGATGAGAGGAACATTCTTGTTTATCTTCAGTCCAGCACTGCTGATCATATTCAGTCTTGCACTCTTGGGTAGGCTCATCCCAACATTGCTTATCCTGATCAAATAAAATTAGTCTTAGTCCCCTAAGAATCTTCACGCTGCAATTAGAACACTAACGCTTTCACTAAACATACTTAGGGTTGCATTCCTAGCAAAGATGAAATGCCCGATTCACAACCATATACTGGAATCCTTGATCTGATCAAAAATGCAGGTTTAAAAGCCTTTCTGAAATTAAATTTTGACAAACTCAAAGCGTACGGGTACAGGCATTGCCATCTTTAAATGATGTTCACTTCAAATTACCATTAATCCTTTTATTTCTATCAGCGCAATAATTTGTAGAATAAATTATATACTAACAATATCAATTTAACATTTGAAAGAAGAAACCAAGCTTACCTGTTCAGTCCAGCATTTTTTCTCATTCTCAGTCCAGCATTCCTTTTTGTACTCTGTAGAACATTGTCTTTCAGAGACCTGGGTACATTCTTTACTGTACTCGGTCTTACACTGTCGTTCACTCACAGACGTACATTCATCCTCCTAAAAAATAAATCATAATTTTAAAGGCTCAGGCACATGAATATATAAAACCAGAGAGAAGTTTTGCCTCCCCTAAAATTGTTAAAAGTTATCCCCCAAAAAAATTTCAAAGTAATGATATTTCACTTTCAGAAGGAGGGGAATCTCATTCATCCTATTTAGAATTTTATTCATCCTTTCACTTTCCAGTCTTATTCATTCATTTTCCTCATCTCATTCATTCATTTTCCCCATCCTGGAATTAACAGTACGTAAAAAAAATAATCATACCTCCCACTGTCTGCATTCTTGCTTGGATTCCTGTACACATGAAGTTGAGTACTCAGTGTTACACTTATTCTGGTATTCTGTACTGCACTGTTTATTGTACTCAGTAGTACACTGCTCCTTAGGTTCATCATGACAGATCTAAATAAGAAAGCCCAAATTAGTCAAACTGAAAAACACTCAATTCTTGGTAAAATTTCCAAACACTCATGGCCAGTGGCCACCCCCCACCATTACAAAAAAGAGACGTAGGTTAATTTCTGGCAGAAGAATTTTGTGCCTCACTGCCATTAAAATAAAAATAATTTTTGCCAAGTAAATTCCGCTATTAATCGTCTAGGAACTTGGCTTACCTTCTCGTATTCTGTAGAGCAATGAGGTTGTTGATGCTCTTCCCAGATAACTTTACAATCCTCGTCACTTCCCTTGGTTAACTTCTTGAGCTTGTCAAACCCACCTCCTAGGCCTCCCAACCCACCTCCACTACCAATCTTATCGAGGCCGGTTGCCTTTCCGATATCATGGAAGAAGTCTTTTTCAACCTAAATGGTTAAAGTAGTCTTAACATTCAACTAAACTAATCAGGCCTAGAATCCAGTACCTCTTCACACCCCCCTGAACCCCTTGTATAATAATGCTCAATCTAGCCCTCCCCCCTCATCCCCCACAAATTAGAGAACCTGTGGTTAAAGGGCCTATACGTGCAATTTCAAGTGCAGACTTTCATTAAAACCTTTCCAATTCACAACAGTACTCTTAAAAGCTCTCTTTCCAAATTTATCCACTGCTGGAAAACTATCCAAGAATGAACTAGAAAAACCAAGTTCTTACATAGAAATAATTAGATAATACTTCACAAGCAACATTCATTGTGAAATGGGCAGTAAATAGAGCCACTAAATCCCCTTAAACGTGCATCTCAAAAAAAACGTTACCCTAAAAATAAATACAAGATTTAATATCTTAAGTATACCTCTTTATTATCTTTGAAATACAAATACAGAATTTATTAACACTTCTGAAGGGGGGGGGGGGGGAAATAA